AAATAATGCAATAAAGTTACAAGAGGATACTTCCATACTCAAATCTCCTGGTTTTATTTATAGATATTTTGCTGCTACATGTTTTAAATACCACAATATATTATTATTTTTATGTTACATAGTCAATTTGCTTTAAAGAAATTAAGAAACTGTAAAGCCTGTTTTATATTTATCCATATATTTACTATTTCCAGAAATCTCTACCTCTCCTTATAATCTGGAGTTTCCATTAATAATCATCATCGAACTTCAACTTGAAGAACTTCTTTAACATTTATTCTAGAGCAAGCCTGCTGGTCATGAATCCTATTGACTTTTGTTTGCCTGAAAATGCCTTTATTTTGTCTTAATTTTGAAGGCTATTTTTCTGAATACAAAATTATAGATTGAAAGATTTTTCTAAAAGCAATTTATAGATAGTATTCCTTTAATACTTTGCATTAAATTTAATGAGATGTCGTCTGTCATCTTACAGCTTATCTTCTCTATGTAGTCAGTCTTTTTGTTCAGCCTCCTAAGATTTTCTCTTCATCAGTGGTACTCAGAAATTTGATTATGACTTTACATATTTAGGTTTTCTGTGTGTTATTTGGGTTATTTGATCTACCTCAATTAGAACATCTATCATTTTTATTGAATCTGATGAATTACTTACTTTTGTATCTGAAAATGTTTTTCTTTCCTTCACTCCTGCAGTTTCTCTCATTTTCTTGATGAATTCAAAGTACATGAATTTAAGTTTGATATTATCCCAAACTTTGCATATTTTTAGTCTTATTTATCTTTGTGCTTAAGATTGAATGATTATTTTTATGTGTCATATTCACTATTTTTTCTGCAGTGTTAACTATGCTGTTCAGTATCCAGTGAAATTTTCATTTCATATAATTTTTTAGTTTTAGAATGTCCATTTGGTTCTGACTTTTCGTTCCTATTTGTTTAATTAATTATCTGTTTTGTTCCCTTATTATGTTCAGATTTTCCTTTAAATCCTTGAATTTATTTATAACAGCTTTTTTGTAAACATTGTTTGTTCATTCAGCTTATTCAGGTATATCTGGACCAGGTTCTATTGACTTATTTTTCTCCTAGGTATAGGATCACATTTTCATGCTTCTATGCACATCTAAAGTTTTGAATTGCATAAACATATACTCCTACAAACACATAAAAGAATCTCCTTATGATTTCCTAAAGGATAAATTCGAATCCCATTTCAAACATTTAGAGGAAAATGAAATTATTGGAGCTTTGAGAACAAACCCTCTCAGTCTGTTAAGAAACAGAAAATGAAAGACTGCTCTCCTTTATGATTACCTACAACCACAAACACCTTTGGACTCTGAAGAGTGAATATGTTTAAAGCAAAGTATCTGGAAGGCTTTTAAGCAACGTTCTAGTAAGATCTACCTCTCAAGGATACAAGGTGGATTACATCTTAATAAAGGTGTGGGGGAAAGAACACAAGGGAGACCTTAGATGTTTTAATTATGCCTGTATTAAGGATTGAAATTTTGAACAAAAACAAGTGTTACTTTTGAAATTCACAGAGAACAAGAAAAAAATGGTCCCAATATAAATTTAATGAAACTTCACAAGTTATAAAGGATCATTTATTGTAAGATGCTATTTTTCTATAAAAATAGATGACACAGTTCTATGTATATGCTGGAAAGATTAAATGTCCTAATGTCCTATCTTTAATGGTCATGGAAACAAAAACTTCTGACATGTTATTACTTAACTTAAAATCTAGTCTTCTTAGGTATATTTAATACATTTGAAGTGGCCTTGCTATAAAAGCCCTGAGAAAAGTGTGGAAAAAGGAAAATTTTGAAACCACAATAAAATCCCACACATCATGTCAGTTGAAATTTATAGCAAAAATGCCCTGTGCATAAGCACAGAAATGCACACATACAGTGCATGTAGAAGAAAGGGCACAGTGCAATCGACTGAAATGTCAATTGAGTTTATGTCATTTAGAATATCCTCCTTTTCCTGTTTTATAATTGCTCAATTTATCATTTGTTTGCCAGGTGCATATATTATCATTAAAATTTGATCAACAACAAAGGAAATTTTTGAATATCCATTATTCAATGCTGAGTGAAGAAACAATGACACAAAATTCCACCATATAACCAGGATATAATTGAAGAAAATAAATAATGATGTGTTCATCTATGGGAGGATGTTTGTGTGTTTTAAGCACCTTGTGAGCAAATACAGGAGTTATTGATGAGCAGTAGGCTATATTTATTTAGTTAAGTAACATCAGCTCTCATGAATCGTTGTACATCTTGTTTAAAACATTTGAACACATGTACCCATTAAGCTCTCCATATTAGTTCCCTCAGGATAGGTTGATTTGGGATAAAGTGTTTCCATATGTCTTTCAGAGAGTTGTGTGTTCTGCCAGGTGCATCACAATGTTTATATTATATTGTAATTCAATAGCAAATCCAGAACAAATATGTGCAGAAAAAATTATTGGTGACAACTGCTGTGTTGACCATATGAGACCTAAGGAATCTGTGTCTCTGAGTGTGTACAACAGGAGGGTTGAAGTTACAACCATATGTTACAAGCCCTTGTCTGTCTGAGGAGGCATTACCTGTGACTTCCCTGCACTTCTTTATAAATGGCTGCTGTACCTGGACTTATTGTTAAGAAGCATGTCTAGTTTTGAGAAATTCCAAATGTAAGAGGCTACTCTTTTTTTTTAATAATTAATTTTTATTTTTTTGAAGAACATTATGTTTACTAGGCTCTCCCCTACCCCAAGTCCCCCCAACAAACCCCATTACAGTCGTTGTCCATCAGCATAGTAAGATGTTATAGAATCACTACTTGTCTTCTCTGTATTGCAAAGCCCTCCCCTTTCCCCCAACCCCCACATTATACATGCTAATCATAATACCTCCTTTCTTCTTCCCCACCCTTATCCCTCCCTACCCTCCCATTCTCCCCTGTCTCTTTCCCTTTGGTAACTGTTAGTCCATTCTTGGGTTCTGTGATTCTGCTGCTGTTTTGTTCCTTCAGTTTTTCTTTTGCTCTTATACTCCACAGATGAGTGAAATCATTTGGTATTTGTTTTTCTCCGCTTGGCTTATTTCACTGAGCATAATACCCTCTAGCTCCATCCATGTTGTTGTGAATGGTAGGATTTGTTTTGTAAGAGGCTACTCTTTAAAAAATAACCAATATTTCAAAGACTAATGAAGTTTGGAAAGTACTCTGCCTACAATAAATGCAGAAAATAGACTTGAACACTGGAGGTATGAAGGAATCTGAATTTTATTTAAAAGTTATTAGTATATTGTGTGAGTAAGAAGTGAGAATGAATGGCACTTTAAAATTATTTATTCTTGTTGGGATTGAATTACTATTATTTTTGGCCTTCTGATTTTTTGAAATTTGAACAGTGTGCCTGCAGCAGATAGTTCTTTTGTAAATATCTTGGATAATAAGGCTCTTCCTACAGGAGAATAAAGAAATTCCAGGTTCTCCAAATATATATTTATGTATGTATATGAGAATATGGAAATTGTTTACAATAATGATGAAGATTTTGTTTAAAACGACCTTTGGTATGCATTCAGTTATATTTAAAGAGAAACAAACATATTACTACATGTGTATATATCCATCTATATATGAACACATGTGTAAAAAGTATATGTTTTAATCATAGGGATTATTATAACATGAATGCAGTTCAGCATCACCCAAACTTCACCTTCTGTGTCCATCTATGTGTGTGTGTGCATATATGTGTATGTGTGTGTGTACGAATGTATATATACATATGTATACATATACAAACTAATATTTACCTTCATATACAACAAATAAGTTCACATTAAAATAAGATTTACTCATGTGTCATGGTTTGGGCCATATTTTAATTTCTGTTTCTGGACAATTTGTCATTATTATGAAAAATCTGCAAAATTTAATTTGTAGTAAATAAATATAAAAGGAAACCTTAATTACAGATTATTGATGACTATAAAAAATGTACATACTTTCACCTTGAAGCTTTGGTAGAATAAACACTTGGATCAAAATGTTAAAATGGTGTACACACTAAGTTTATTTATAATATGATCTGTTATATTTTTTAATAATAAAATGTTAAGATTAAGTTTTAGATAAAAATGTAGGTTAAATTTTTGAGAAAGGGAAAAATAACCTACATTTTCTCAGGCATTATGTGTGCGCAGTTGTGATTCAATATTCATTTAATATATGTGATATATGTTTATTATATATTTATATATTATATATAATGCTGCATGTAGTATAGATAAAATTATATATAACATATAAGCACATATATATAGCTAAATATACATGTTTGCATGTGTATATTGAAATAAATGCATGAGTATATGGAAACTGAGTTTGTATATGTATGTTGAAACAAAATTTCAAATGTTTATCATTAGTATTAACAGGTGCTGTTTGCAACAGTGCTTTACTTTTGATCAGCACAGGGTTATTTTCTGAATCTTTTGCAAGCACTATGTCTTAGTTCCTTATGAAAAAATGCTATATGACTGATCCCTAAGACGTAAGCACGACATGCATGTAAAAGTAAAGTAATAGTAAAATAATAGGTAACAGTAAAGTAATAGGAAGCCATTGAAGGTCATACAATGACATAGGAACATGCCTGTGTTTCATTGTTAAATGATGAGATCATGACGCTAAACCATGTCCCCTTTGGCTGAATTTATACATATTGGAGTACGTGTATCGTTCCAAGTGGGCACTGTATATCATGAAGTTCTTGAGATTGGTTTAGACACTTATTTTAGGGTTCTAGACAAATACTTGCTCCTCTCTAAATATACCAAGGCCTAGTGCCCGGGCCATAAATTGGGGGAGGACTCCCAGGGAACCTGGGAACTGAGCCAAGTAAGGAATCACCTAGTGCTGAGACTTGCTCTTCTCCAAGCCCTTAGGTGCAACCATTTTCTTTTCTCCCTTAGACCTGGATCTCTCAGGTTTGCCCCCTGATATCCCAAGAGAATTTGGTAGCAAAAGAAAACACTGGAGATACAATGCTGAGTGAAGAAAAAGTAGAACTGCAAAGACTAGGTAAGTGGATATTGAATTCTTGAACTAAAAGCTGCCTGATGAGAGTGTAGGTTTAGGCCCCAGTTTGACTGCAGATGGAAACCAAAAACAAAATCACAGTAGTGTGAACAAGATTCTTCAAACTGGGCAAGAAACAAGGCAGCCATATTTCCTGCCACCTTTCTCTTGGTCAAATTTTTTTCACATTGGATGGGCGGGAGAAGAGGACAAAGGGGCAGTGTTAGATAGAATTTCTGCAGCAACACTGCCATCAAGAGGAAATTGCTAGAAATAACCCTCAAGGCTTCCTCTCAGGAATGACTTTTAGTTTGAAGAGATCCATTCTGTGGGAAAGCTGTTGGGCCGGGCCCCAAGCCGGCGCTCTGAAGCCCACCTGGAGCTCGGAACAAAGGTGGGGTCCAGGTGTAGCAGCTAGTCCGGGGGTAGGCTAGACCACCAGCAGCTGCCAGGAAGTCGGGGCACAGGAAGTCGTGGGGTGGGATCTTGGTATTCTCCCACTGTGGGCGGGACCAGAGGAAGCCTCTAACAAGGTACTGGGTTTGTGGGAATTTGTCTTTCTCCCAGCCCCTCAGAGCACGTGGTGTTCCCACGCTCTGGGATCTGGGCCCCTTTTTGGTAGCAGAGTCGCATGGCAGAGGGCAGGACAATTGCTGGTGGCTTATAGCAGGACCTAGTGTGCATGCTGGAGGTCTCAGGTGCAACCAGATTGGAGCTGGGAGAGCCTGAAGAGAAGTGGAACCACCCAGCCAAGCGCAGAAGGAGTTAGCACTTGTACAGATAACAGATCTTGCACAAACAGATGGGAACCAAAAACAAATGAAGAGGATTGAAGATGATCCCACATTTTAAAAGTCCTTGTCTGCTGGAGGTGGCATTACCTGTGACCTCGCTTCTCTTCTTCACACATGGCTGTTGTAGCAGGTACATTGTAAAGAAGCATGATTATTTCTAGAAATGCAAAAACAGGTGGCAAAATTTTGAAACATGTCAGAATTTCAAAGAATATCTAATGATGTTTTTAAAAAGCATTCAAGCTACAAGGTAGGAAAACTTGTTTTAATGCTCAAAGTAGGAGGGACTTTGAACATTGTTTTTTAAAAGTATGTATGTGCAAAGTGAAGAGAGAGGAATGCATAGCAAAGACATTTTTATGTGTTTATTTCTTCTGACCGAAGTAACATTTGTTTTCTACTTTATAATTTCTCAAAATTTGAATGGATTGCGAGCAGCAGATAAAACTTTTGTAATTTCTTGGAATAGAAAGTTCTTCTAGAGTAAAATGTGAAAATATTTGCAAGCACTCAAAAATACATATTGATATGCAAGCATGAATACGGTATAAGGTAGTACTGAAGACTGTGCAAAACTATACCCAATGTATCCAGTTGTGTTTAAAGAGCAGCAGACCTGTGTGTGTAAACATATATATACATAATACATATATTATATATGTGTAGACGTATTTAGAAGCTACATATTTACAATAATGCTCAGTGTCACAGTGAGTATGCTTTTCATCTTGAAATTCTCAGTGTTGGCATATTTATATCCATATTTACATTCACATAAAAGGAGACGTTAATGAAATATAGCTGCATGTAAAGGGTAAGAACGCGTCCACCTAAGAGTTTTCTTAGGATACACATCTGGGTGCCTGAATTTGAGAGATACCAATTTCAGCCTTCATTTATTTGAATTTATATATTGAATTCTGTTTTCTTTCTTTACTGTTTTTAAAGAAAATTTTAAGATAAAAATTTGGTATAAGTTTTGCGAAGTATAAAATATGAAACCCTGATATTCTTGGGCATGAGTATTTAGTGTCTGTTCCAATATTAGTTTTAAAGTATATGCATATATAATCATAATAATAAGGTAAGGCAAGTCTCGCAATCATGATTACTGAATGGTGGCATAGGTATTTTATGTCCTGTGTATGAATTTTTAAAGAGATTAAGTGATAAACTAATTAATATTCTGTAATTAATTGGTCAGGCAGGTAGTTCTGAACAAATGTTTGATTGTCTGAAATCCAGGTCTTGCAAATATTTTATGATAATTTCAAACTACTCAAGAATCAGAAGTGGAAACTTTGAATCTAAAACATGATGCATAAAATAAATCCAATTTAAATATAAGTTTATCATAGTTTCTTACTGTAAATGTAGAACTATGTGGGTGTGTGGAAAGAATGGAAATAAATGTGCAAAAGGTTATCAGTGCTTAATAAAAGATTTTATGACTGCACTTTTCCTCTTGATCAGCACATGGTTATTTTCTGAATCCTTTGCAAGCACCATGTGTTATTTACTTATGAGAAAACACTGTAAGACTGATCTCTAAGACTTAGGTAGTGGCATGCACATATATAAGAAAACCATAGGAAGCCATGGAAGGTCATATAATCACATGCATGGGAACATGGTTGTGTTCCGTTGTTAAGTGATGCAACCCTGAGACAAAATCGTGGCCCTTCTGGAATTTATATATGTTTGAGTATATGTGTCACTCCAAGTGTACATTGTATAGAATTCAGACTTGAGATATATCTGGACCCTCCTTTAAGGGTTCCAGGCAAATGTGTGTTCTGATCAACACACAAGGCCTAGAGCCCACTCAGAAAACAGAGCACTCCCAGGGAACCTGGCAGTGAGATGAGTCAAGTACCACGTGGCCTCGTGCCTAGATTTGCTCTTCTCCAGGCCATTATTGCCATTATTTTCATCATTCTCTCAGCCCTAGATCCCTAAGAATTTCCCACTGACGCAGATAACATGGGAAAATGGTGGGGATCAAGGCCAAATGAAGAAGAGCAGACCTGCAAAGAGTGGAAGGGGAATTCTTGAAAAGAAAATGGCTGATGAGGGTAGGTGCTTTAGGCTCCAGTTTGGTTTTGGAGGGAAACTAGAAGCAAAAGTACATCTGTTTGAGCACATTTTCCCTAAACAGGACAAATAACAAGGCAACATTGTTTCCTGACTCCTTTGTCTCTTGGTGGCTTTTTTCCATATTGAATGGGTGGGAGTAGAGGACTTAGGGGACTGGTTTAATTGGCTCTCCCTGAACAGTACTGCCACCAAGAGGGAGTAGCTTGACAATAACCAAAGTTCGAACTCTTGTGAGGCCTAGAAATTGAGAAAAGTTTGACCTTTCATCAGGTTGACTGGACCCTGGCCCTGGCTGGGCCTCCTTCATAAAGGGCAGCCAAGGAAGATTTGGAGACATTTGAGAAAGCATGCCATTTGACCATATGCTAGATTGGGGAAACTAGATGTGTGAAGAGAGGACCCTATATCTGAAGTCAGAATTGTAGGTTACATAAGAGGTAATCCTAACCCTATAATTCCTCAGGATTAAGAATTTTGTGTTCACACATTTTGGTTTACATTAAGAGACTACATTTGGCCAGGGTGTGGATGGAAGCCTAAATTAAAGCACCTTTCTAAGTCCCAGGAATTCAAGCACGGCACCATGACCAGTAGCAGGAGATTGTAACTACTGCCAACCTTAACTATAGCTCAACCATTGACATCCATCTCAGATCAAAAGCTATTTCAAAATGAAAAGCTAAAAAAAAAAGCCCACCCAGTAGGGAAGGTCACAAAGGGAAGAGCAGGTAGTTCCCAGACATTAAAAGGCCACGTAACACAAAAGTCTTTTAGCAGGGATTTTCAAATTTACCAGTCCTAAAGTAAATTGCAATTCAACATGTTGTGTCATACCCTTCATTCTTCATCATCACCCTGAGCAAGCCCTGAAAATGAAGCTATTAATATCACCCAGTTTGTGTAATAATCTGTAGAACTGAACAAGCTCCTACTACGTGAGAAGCATTGTCAACTGGCTTAACTTTTTGGAGGTCAATTGGTCAGCATCAGTTATCTTTCACATAGGAATACCCTTTGTCTAGAATCTCTGCCTCTCAAAAGTGATCACACAGCCATTGACACAGGGAAGCAGAGAGTTGGGTCTAAGGAGGATCACTGAGGTTTCCTTCACAAGAGTAGATAGTGGGAGGGGCAAAGGGTCCATTTTCTGGGTTCAGCTGTAGCAAATAGTCTTCATAAGCCTTTGGAATGATTGAAATCCATTCTCTGAGTGCTCATCAGGAGAGATGTCCATACTTTTTATTCAGGGAAGAAAAAGTGTTGGAAATTAAAGATAAAACCATTCTAAGTAGCTAATACAAGAAAAATGAAATGGAAAAATAAAGCCTGTCTTTCTCTACTTAATACATACATGATTAATTCAAGTTGAACACATAAACACATGGATTCAAAAAAGTTAATAGGCATAAAGAAGTATCTGGTTGGTTGTATGTAACAACTAACTTTCTGGAGTCCTGTTTCCAATAGCTTGCCTTCAGATTTTAACTTTATAGTTATCTGAAGTTTTGAAATTTTGAAAGCAAGAAAAACTTGCATTTGAAAAGTTTTTAAAAAATCAGGAAACCAACATCATTCCAATGTACAATTAAGAAAAGAGTGTGTTCAAATATCTATTTTTCTTTTAAAACTGCACAGGTCTATGGACAAGATTTAAAGGACTCAGATTTGTTATACAAACAGAATGATGATGTTTCCAAATTCTGCTTAACAGAAAATCCAGTTTTCTGAAGCATATTTAATGTTATGTGGAAAGGCTTATGTGATTTATGTGATGTAAGACCTGAGAAAATCATGACAAAAGGAAGCAACTCAAACAACAAAGATATCATGTAAGTCAAGCTCCATACCAACAAACCCTGATAGCCTGCACACATGTGCCCACACGTGTACAATTATAAATATAACATAAAAGAGCAGAATGCAATAGATCAAACATCAGTGGTTTACCTACTGAGTTACTGTGAGTTCCAGTATCATTTTACTGCTTTTTATTTGATCAATTTACTGATTATTTTCCAGATGGATGTAATTCTCTTGATTTGATTAACAATAAAGAAATGCTATGAGACTTAACCATAAAAAACTCAGTGTTGCTCATGAATAGTTAGTACCATTGGCAAGTACACACTGTCCATTGTTGAGTCAAAAATTCATGGCAGTTAACTCCATGTACAGTGCGGTGAGGAGGGATTTGAAGGAAAAAAATGGAAATGTTTAGTGTGTATGTGTAGCATTGTGCTGGGGTATGTGGAGAGTATAATAATGAGATGTAGACTAAATCTATTTAACTCTCATGCATAGTTGTGTATCACTTTTATAATATTTAAACCAATATACTCATCAGGCTGTGAATAGTGGTTCCCTTGAGAAAGAGAGATTGGGATAAAGTGTTTTCATTTGTTCTTGACAGATTGTATTCTAAGAGATTTTTCGAGAAGCCAATAATATATTTAGAATTTAAGAACTAATGCAGAACAAATATGTTCAGGATTCCTGGTTTAAACTTCATTTGTTGGCCATTTGAGACCTAGTATATTTATATCTCTAACTGATCATAGAAAATGAGAATTCAAGACACATATATTTTGAAAATCCTTGTCTGCTTGAGTGGGGATTACTTACAAGCTCACTGCAGTTTATACATGTCTAATATATCTGGTACTTTTGTAAACAGGTATTCTTAATTCTAAGGAATAAAAAAAGATGAAAGGTAACATTAGAAATAGGAAGTATTCCAAGGAATATTTAATGTTGTTTGCAAAGAACTCAAACTATAATCAGTGAAGAAAGCATATTTGAACACTTAAGGTACAAGAGAACTGGGATTTTAGATTAAAAAATACATGTGCACAGGAAAGGCATGAGAATGTATGGCAAAGACAATTTAAACTTATTCTAGTTTTTATTGAGGTACCATTTATTTTTGGCTCTATAATTTCTTAAAATGTGAACAGGTCACCAACAGCAGGTGTTGCTCTTTTAATTCCTTGGAAGAGAGACCTCTTTCTAGAACAAAATGTAAAGAAATTTCAAGGTGGGAAAATACATATTGATAAGGGCCATGGAATTTATATAAGAGGATTTTGTGCCAAATTAGATCCAATGTGAGTCAAGTTATAATTAAGGAGAAACAAATGTGTGTGTGTGTGTGTTTGTGTAGCATATGTTATATATGCTATATATTAAATATATAATAAGTGGGGCAATAAAAAGCATTTTTCATAATGATTCATTTACTAAAATGAAGGCTTGCAAATTTTATATAATATTCTCAAAATGCCCAGGAATCAGGAGTGAAAATTGCTCATGCAAACCATAATATACTAACATCCAATTTTAATATAAATTTAGTTTTGTGTATGAATATAGATACAGAACTGCGTTTGCACTGAGAGGAGTGGAAAGACACAATCCAAGAGGTTATCAGTGGTCATACCAAGCTGTCAGCTGCCAGGAGGTCAGTGCTTTACTCTCGATGAGCACATGGTTATTTTTGAATCCTTTGCAAGTACGTCTTAGTTACTGATGAGAAATGGCTTTAAGACTGATCTTAAGGGATAAATAGTAACACACATACACCTACACCCCCCAATAAAGACATGGGAAAGCAACTGAAGGCCATTTAATGATGTGGGAAGTGTGTTCCAAATGAACAAACATCAAGGCATGAGGCAGAACTGAGTAACCTGTGACTGGGATATATGTGTGTGTGCATATATATATATTTATATATACATATTTTTTGTATATATATATTTGTTCTGCCCTGTGGGGCATTGTATGGCATATAGTGATGAGAGCTACATGCGCCCTCCTTTTAGAGCCCCAGTCAGATGGCTGCCAACAATTCAACATGTAAGTCCTATGCCTTTATCCAGAAAATGTAGGCAAATTTCTTGAGAGCCTTAGAGATCATCCAAGCAAGGACACATGTATTGGTACCTAGAGGTGCCTTCCTGGTTGAATTTCCAGCATTTTGTTTTTCTGTTTAGGCCTGGATCCTTGAGACTTGCCCTTAGACGTAGACAATGTGGTAACTTGGGAAAATGGTGGAGTTGTAATGCTGAGTGAATAAAAGTAAAACTATGAAGACTAGGCCTAATGGAAATTGAATTCTTGAAAAGAGAAGATGCCTGATGAGGGTCGGGAATTTTAGGCATCAATTTGATTTTGGATGAAAACCAAAGCTAAAGTAGAGCAGTGTGAGCAGGTTTTCTCAAACTGGGCTGGATAAGAAGCAGCCATATTTCCTGGCGTCCTTGCCTCAGTTAGGGTTTTTTCTGACAGGATG